AAAGAAGGTGATACTATGAACCTGGGGACCAAAGGCAGGCAGGAGAACCCTTCTTCCTTTCATAGCTACAGAGAGGGAAAAAGTTTCAGCTGCTATTACTTGACGTGATGGTGCTTGAAGATACAAGAAATGCAGCTTCCACCAGAATCCCGTCTAGTTCCTTAGCCACCCAAAGTTCAGGGACACTGTCCTTTCCTGCATCTTGGCGACCTATAATTGCAGTTTCCTTCTGCGGCAGGCAGGAGAACCCTTCTTCCTTTCATAGCTACAGAGAGGGAAAAAGTTTCAGCTGCTATTACTTGACGTGATGGTGCTTGAAGATACAAGAAATGCAGCTTCCACCAGAATCCCGTCTAGTTCCTTAGCCACCCAAAGTTCAGGGACACTGTCCTTTCCTGCATCTTGGCGACCTATAATTGCAGTTTCCTTCTGCTTTGGGACTGCTCATCTCCTTGTGCTACACAGTAATACAGCATATCAGTGGTTCAGCGTTATTTTTTTTTAAAAAAGCAATACATTTAATGAGATCATCTAAATACTGCAATGTTCACAAATAAGGGAAGCGGGTTTGGGAGAAGGGTGCACAGGAAGGCATCGGTCGGCATGAAACAGTTGCAAAAGAGGAGGTCCTCTTAACTCTAAGTGAGAACCGAGGTCCTTTAGGAGCAGAGCCCATGCACTGTGCTACTTCACACGGTAGGCAGAACTTGAGCGAGGGCCACAGCACGGCCCTTTAGCTTTCCATTCTCACTTCTGCTGAACATGCACAAAACAGGTGTTTCACACTGTAGGTGGCAGCAAACCTGGGCCTGCCACCTGGGGCAGGTGCTCATCCTGATCTTGCTAACAAGCAAGACATGCGCGCACCTGCAAACACGTTTGTTGGCATCCACTTCAGATGTCTAGGTCATACACCTTGAGCGTTCAAAGACATGAAGAAGTGTTGGGACGGCAGCTTGCAAGTCTAGACTCGTAGGCAAACAGGACAAAACAAGACCCCAAACCCAACCATTTCAAGCTCTAGCTTGAGCATAGCCCAAACCATTAAGTTCTGGAATGGGATACCCAAAAAATGCTTTGAACATAACAGCAGAAGTGTGAGACCATTAATTTTTTTAAAAAAAGAATTAACAATGATTTCAGAGTTCTATGAAAGCTTTGTTCGAGAGCCAACCGGCACTTCCTTTCCTGCAACAGTTCGCTTTCATAGAAAAGTATCACGCCCAGAAAGGATAAGGGACCGAGTTGTTCTCGTCTTGAGGGAATATGATCAGAATCTGTGCACTGTGCTTTTCTGGCGACTTAGCCCCGAAAAAAAAACATACACACTCCAAGCTTACATCAAATGTCTACCAGTTTAACCGTCACAGCTTCGTCGCCCAAAGAATCCTGGGAATGGTAGCTAGGGGGACCTGCGTCTTGGAGATCCGGTCGTCCCTGTACACAGTTCCCAGGGCTCTCCGAGAAAAGAGGGAATGGCTGTTGAACCAGGTTCAGCTTGTAACGTAGGTATGCCTTCAACCTCTTCCCTCAGGCGAACGCGCAGCACAAAAAAACCCCTGCCCTACCCAGTAATGCAAGTGCTGTAGTAGACGGCACTGCTGGCATCAGACAGGGCTGATATCAAGCTGCTCTCGTCGCAGGAGAGGCTCCGGGGAGTCACTTTGGACATGGAAAGATGGCAAGCGAACCCAGGAGGGTCGGGACGAGTCCTGCTCATATTCAAATACTGGTCGAACTCGTTGCGATCCACTTCTGTCCAAAGCTCGCCGGGATTCATGTGTTCCACACTGTCCAGATGGTGAGATTCAGGGGGTGGGGAGAGTTGGCCAAGGTGGGCTGAAAGGCCGTTGGCGGCTCCAGCACAGATCTGGTTGTAGTACATACCAGGTGGGTGTGGAGTCCTCATGGCGTCGGCCAGATGGGACGCGGGGTTCTGTGGATAACCCATGGACAGGTTACGCCCCATAGCTTTTTCTGCAGGAAACTCCATCTGGGGGGGAGGAGGTGGTGGTGGTGGTGGTGGGTGACGGTGGTAACCCCGGAAGGACATCACATTGCAGTCATCTTGCATGTGAGGAGGGAAAAAGGCCGGCTCAGTCTGCTCCAGGACATCCAGCGGGGACATCTCGGGAGTCGGGAGGCCGTAGTTCTCCATGTCGGAGCCCACGGACCGGAGCTCCCGGAAATGGCTGAGTGGAGAGGGCTGGGAATGGCCTGGGTGGTTGATGCCACCCGAGGAGCGATGGTTCATCCCGAAGTTATCATTGCAAGGTTGGGAGAGGTTGTGCAGGAGGATGTTAGGCTCCATCCTCTTGATCTTTTTGGCCTGCTTCTTCCTTCTTGGACGATACTTGTAGTTCGGGTGATCCTGTAGGTGCTGGATCCTCAACCTCTCCGCCTCCTCCACAAACGGGCGCTTGTCGCTAGCGCTGAGGGCTTTCCACGACTGGCCTGAGAGGTCAAAAAAAGAGAGAAGAAAACAGAGACATGAAGATAATGCAGCTCACCAGTACAGTCCAGGGTTAAAGAGCGTGGGAGATCCAATGCATCTGATAATTAAAGGAAGTGGACTTGTCCACTAATGCTCACATTCACATATACTGTAGCACGTAAGACTTTAAGAGAAGACTCCCTGGAAAAGACCTTGATGTTGGGAAAGTGCGAAGGCAAGAGGAGAAGGGGATGACCGAGGATGAGATGGCTGGACAGTGTCTGCGAATCGACCAACATGAATTTGACCCAACTCTGGGAGGCGTTCTCTGGTCCGTGGGGTCCGGCTGTGAAACATGTTGCACAAGATCTCCACTGCAGTTTACTGCTAAGTACTCACAGCCAATGGAAAAAAATGTGTTCCCCCCCTCCCCATGAGATAAAGATCCAAAATGCATCAGAGGGGTTACACTTTTATTACATCAACCAAAATGTCACAAATGAGTAAGCAAGTTGTCTCACTTGCAACTGTGTGTTTGCATGTGTTTAGATGGCAGCAACAAAAACTATCCCAAGGCATTGTTCTCAACAGAGCTTAGGAATGTGATTTTTTTTCCTACTGCAAATCCCAGAATTCCAATATTCGTAATTTTTTTAAAAATCCCTAACTCGAAGCCTAGAGATCTTGAATCCAGAACTCCAGAATTTGCAGCTTGAAAAAAAAATCTGAACTGTAGTTCTAAAGAACCTGAACTCACTCAAACTTTTTATTTTTTTATTTTTATTTTTATTTTTTTGTCCTCAAAGTTATTGTCGTACTGGGAATTCACTGCGGACAAAAATCTCCTTTGACGGAGTTTAAACAGCTCCGACCCACTCTCGGAGACAATGCGAAAGAAATTAAGCGGCAAACAGATTTCCCCACCCGGCTCATTCCCTGATCTCCAGTGTTGATTTTGATAAAAGTGTCTTAAAGTCTCTTTCACACAAACATGGAGCGGTTAGGTTGAGAGTGTACGTGATTTTGGCGTATTGTATGTGATTCGTTTTGCAAAGGTTCGAGCCCGTTCAAATGGTGACTCAACACTGCATCCAAGAGGCAATTGGCTAGGGAAACATTTTCCAGAACATGGTGAGTTGCATTTTGGACCTTTTCCAAACTGTTATCGAGTGTGCCAGCATTCACTTAAAAACCCAGCGCAGGTTGACTTAAGCAGCTAGGGAAGTGGAGGGTGGAAATGAAGGGCAGAAGTACATTTTAATGTTGCTTTTCTGAATTTCCTTTGTATTTTCACCCTTGTGTGATAACCAGCATTGGCTACGGTTTACAGTCAGTTTACAAGTTGGTCTCTCCGTGTCCCCCGCCTGCGTGAATTAACATTTAGACATGCTACAGAGTGTTAGGCAGCAGTTTCCTAAGTTAGGAACCCAAATGTCCCCGGACTACAAGTGCCAGGAAAACTCTGATCGTTGGATGTCTTGGCTGGGGCTTCTGGGAGTTGTAATCCATGAGTATCTAGGACTCCAGATCTTGGAACTACTGAGATCAGAGGGTGACAGAGTGGCACAAAATTCTGCATGGGACAGAGAAAGAAGTTTAGAAATTTCCTCTCTGTTCCCATCATACTAGAACTTAGGAACACCATCCCATGTAGCAAAATGGCGGGAGCTTCATGGAAGACATGAAGTTGTCCCCCCCGTGTCCCCCCAAACACACACCTGGTGCATAGTTAGGCTGTGGAATTCCCAGCTACAAGACGTTCGAGGTGGCTGCCCGCTTGACTGGCTTTACTGGGCAAATTCACAGAGGGTAACGCTATCAATGCCTACTAGCCAACGTGTTCCCTCCACTGGGCAACATGAATGGAAAGGAGCATCTTTCTTCGCGAAGGCTTTCACGGCCGGGATCTAATGGCTCTTTGGCCGTGTTCTGAAGGGTGTTCTTCCTAACGTTTCGCCGGTCTCTGTGGCCAGCATCTTCAGAGGACAGCAACCTATGCTCTGGTGTAGTTGGCTTGGGACACTCTGTGCTAAATGCAAGACTGGAAGCCTTTTCCCCATTACCAGGAGGAGAAATTCCTCTTACTAAGGGTGGAAAAATACTGGTAGGCGTCGTGCCCCATTACGGGCGTTAACGGACATATATTGCCGAGCCTGATCGAGCAGGCACGTCTACGGCTACGCCCTTAACGGGAAGAGATGACCATCAGTTTTACCAAAAGGCCGTTCGTACATGGCAAGCATCTACGCAATTCTGTGTCGCACCAGACAACATATTGCTTCACAACAGTCCATGGTGCTTGGTGTCATGACCTGAGCAATGAGAAGATGATGACTCACCACAACTTTTCGTCGTCCCCTCCCCCCCCTCCCCCGGCTACCTCTGACTATATCTGTATTGCAATCCTCATGATTCCCCAGTTAAATTAGTAGGATCTAACTGGTCCTTCTTCTTGTGCTCCTGTTCTTGTATATCTTGGGACAGAAATGTGACTCCCCCCCCCAATATGCACATCCATGTACAACTGAATACTCCGACATCCTCTGCCTCTGATAACATTCTTCCCTATCTTCTTGCAAATATTCACATGCACGACTCATAGAGCGCATTAGAGGTGATCAGCCGCTGGCTAGTTCTGGCCATGGCAGGAGAATTCAGGGGGTGCACAAATAGCTGCAGTATGGTTCTACTCCCCTCCCCCTGCTCTTTTGGCACCCCCCCATCCAAAGCAAAACCTGCAGACAAGGACATTTGTTCCAGGAAGCTTCCAGAACTGGTGGTCTTGTAACAGAATGGGTTTCCAAACCCACCCACCCCCCAAATTCCCTACCAACCCCAAAACCCACAAATATGAAACTGGAGGGGAATTCCAGGAAATGTTGGTTTTGAATGTTTTTGTACTTAATTCTAGTTTTCTGGGCTTCTGAAGCTTCCTCCGGGTCCCGCGCACCCCGACGGTTGACCCCGGATTTTCTGAAGTTGCTGACCCCCTGGTACGAAGGGATCAGAACTGGCCACCTAATGGAACTAAGCGGCTTCCCGACAGAACAGGGACCGGTACGAAAAGTGGCACCTGGCGAAGGGCTTACTTGGCTCTCTCCTATCCTTTTAAGATTGGTTCCCAACATGGGCCAGAAGACCACAGTCCCTGCCCTTCCAGTTTGGTCACAGCATCTGGTCCTCAAGAGATACACTGCCTCTGCATGGGGAGGTTCGCCTTCCCTATCCTAGCAATGGGACTACGCAGTAATGAATTTTTGCAGCAGGGGGTTGGGATCCGAGTTGCAGCTGGGCTTAGGACTGCTCCGATTTCGGACTACCACTGCCCCAAGCTGCTGGCTAGGGGATTCTGGGACTTGTAGTCCCCAACTAATGTCCCCCGCACTTCCAGCCAGCGGCGTCTTTACCTGAGTCGCTGGCACCCACACCTCCCCCCACTGGGCACCCTTGCCCTTCCCAAGGCCTGCGGGACCCACATCTCCGTTTTCTCGAGAGTAGGGCACCTCGCCTTACCCAGCATCTTGCTCAGCACCGCGTTGTGCAGGTCCGGATTCTGCTGGGCCAGGCGCTTCCTCTCGTCTTTGGCCCACACCATGAAGGCGTTCATGGGGCGTCGGATGCGGGAATCCTCGCCGGCTTTGCCTTCGCTGCTGGTGGCGCTACGGCCCGAGACGGAGCTGCTCCCGCCGCTGTA